TCTTTTAGTTAATCCCACATTTATGTTTCTTATTCTCATTTATATATATAAACGTGACAGTCATTATTGTTGTGCAGAAACTATATATATTATTTTTTATTTCATTATGAATTGAATAAGCAATTAAAGTTATAAGAAATATTAATAAATGTATTAATTACAAACATTATAATACATATCATGTTACATTACAATATAAAAAATAAAATTATTTTTTTTGTAATTTAATTTCCAGCCATACTCAATCAAATATATAACTACAAAATGATAAGAAAGATTAGTTTCATAATTAAAATTAAAAATTTAGCTCCCCAAATGGTAAAACCTTATAAATTAGTAGTATAGATACATTTAAATGACATATAATTTATAAACTTAGACTATACGCATAATAAGATAAATTATGAATTAAATAAATAAATTATTATTATAACACAGTCTATATAATTATTATAGCAAAGTCTATATTGTCAATATTATCATTTAAAAAGTTCATTGAAAAAACATATGTATAAAAAAAATCCATATGATCATAATTAATAGTGCAAAATTAACATTCTTTGACTTTCTATTTGGTAGTAATAATAAAATATTTTATATTAGTACTATTCAATAAAATGCATGATTTCTGCATATTTGATTATCACAATCAACATTCTTTTTGTATAAATTAAAAAGTGTCTTGAATCAATTGTCTCATATTTTTCATTAAAAAAATAACTGTTGGCCGTGAAAAAAAAAACATTATTTCACAATTATAAATATAAAAATGATTAATTTTCATTAAACAATTCCTCTGTAAGAAAAAAGTGACGGGACAAACTTCTGCATGATTATAGCATCAAAACATATCTAAAACATCAATATTTTAATGCATTAAAAACATACTTTCAGCAACAGAAAAGTCATATTAAACGGAAATTGGCAAAGTCAAAAAATGAGAATTGACAAGGCATTGTATGTAATGGCAGATTGTTGCATAATATAGAAATATCAACCATAATTAATAATCAACAAAAAAAAGTCAAATCTATATGAAAAAATCAAAATTAAAAACACAGCAAATTATGTGGAACATTATTGAACACTATACAATATAAAAAGAAAAATAATTTGATTTCTCTATTATTATCAACATATTCAACTTTTACCAAGACATTTGCCTTTATATTAAAATCGATTTTTTTGCGTAAAAGTTTTAAAAATAAAAATTCCTACAGATTCTTTTAAACATTAAACAAGAAATTTCTAATATGCGATAAATATATCTAAACAGATTAATTATAAACTTACCTAATATTTCCAAATTTTGAACAAAATACTAAAAAATTTGAAAAACTTCGGCAAAAGACTTTGAATAACTTCGAAAAGCGATTTTGAACAAGTGTTAGCAAAGCTTCACTTACTGATATGATGAGAAAGACGACAAAGAATTGAACTATTTAGTTTTCAAAATCTGAACAAAATACATATGTATGTTATAAAAAGATATGAACAGATATGTTATAAACTTACATGTATATTTGTTAGTAGAGCTGAATATATCTGTTAGAAACTTACATATTTTTTCAAACCCTGAACAAAATACATAAAAGTTTGAAAAAGTTCGACCAATGTCATGTTCTCTTCGAAAAACGATTTTGAAAAACATCTAAATAATTTTGAATTATGTATAAAATGTAATATATCTTGAAGCTTATTCACAAAGAATATCGGAAAACGACACAGATCATTGAAAATAATAAAAAATAAAAACTACGTTTAACAAAAAATATTTCAGCTCATCATAGATTTGTAATATTATCGCCCGATTTTGATCGACCTGTTAAGATTTAGCAACACAGATTAAGAAATCGGGACGAATATTTTATTTTTCGATCACTACTGTTGGTCACAAAAACAACATTTCTCGGATGTCTTTTTTTTGTTTTTTTTTTAATTTTTTAAGCCTTTACCGGGAGAAAATCTCCGGTAAAACAAATGTTTTGTATTGAATCTCGTCGAGTTTGTCATAATATCCGGTTAAGGATTAGGGTTCCAGACAGAGTGAATAACGAGAGAAGCGCCGACATCAAACAAAAAAAAGGGCTTACATCACTCTCAAGGAGTTTATACCTATTTGTAGTCATGTTATCACTGACCTGTTTTATATTTAATTTTGGCTACCCTAAAAAATTAAGTAGACTTCTAATTTGGGCTTTTTTTTTATCATTCAATCAATATATTTCTTTATGGCCCAAAAGTTGTCATTTTGTTCAAATGTCTTAAATATTTGACACATATCATTATTTATCAACCAAATACAATTATTTATTTTGTAATATTTTGCTGGTATTTTTTTAGTATTTTTTTTTTTTAAATTTCCTATATGATCTATAGTACAAAATACAATAATTATTTAAACAATTAAAACCATTATATGTCTTAATTTGAAGATATGATTTGTAGTGATGAAAATTCTGTTGATAGAAAAACCACAAACGTTGTATATAAAAAATTGTTTAACAATATTTAGTTACTATTTCTTAGAACATTTTTCCAATGATTATATTATGATTTTTACTATTGTTTATATATTTTTATTATTTTTTGTTCTATTATATTGTTTTCCGTGCAAATGCACGGGTTAAAAACTAGTCTAACTCAAATTTAACTCAACCTCACTATTCTCAATATTATTAATATAACTAAATAATAACAACCAATCATTAAATAATAACAACCAATCATTTTTACACATCATATCAACTTTAATTCACTATTAATCCACTCACATAATTTTAACTAACCATCACTTCATATCATCTATCTCCTACTTTTACATCAAACCAATTTTAATTATTTTAATATAAACTCAAAATTCTACTGACAACTAACTACACTATTTTTTTTCTAAATTAACTCTAGTTAACTCAAAAATATTCACTTTGAGTTAATTCACTCAAATTATTCCTTTAACAACACACCCTTAGAGCATCTCAAATGTTATAGCTTATGTAATGTTAATTCATGTAGGAATAATGTTAAAAGAGTAGAAATTTGAATCAACCTAGTATCTCCAATGCATCAATTTAATAAAAGTTATTTGTATAGATGGACCAATTAAAATAATCATTAATACAAGAACAATAAAAAATTAATTCAAATATAAAGTGAATTGATTAGTCATCATATTTAACATGGTGTTAGATATTAGAAAGTGTGTTCAACATTGTCAACATTAAATGCTATCCACCTCTTCAAGAAAGAGTTCATGACAAGATGCATTAGAGCATCTCCAATGTTATAGCTATGAAAGACAATAATTTTTAACACATGTCAATCAATGATTGTAATGTTAATCCATATAGGAATAATGTTAAAAAAGTAGAAATTTGAATCAAACTAGTATCTCCAATGCATCAATTCCATAAGAAGTTATTTGTATAGGTGGACCAATTAAAATAATCATTAATACAAGAACAATAAAAAATTAAATCAAATATGAAGTGAATTGATTAGTCATCATGTTTAACATGGTGTTAGATATTAGAAAGTGTGTTCAACATTGTTAACATTAAATGCTATCCACCTCATCATGAAAGAGTTCATGACTAGATGCATTGGAGAATAAATTTGTAACACACTTTCAAAAGTTGATGATATGGATGAATTTTTATAATGTCAAAAGCCACGTTGGAGATGCTCTTAGAGAATAAATTAGTAACACACTTTCAAAAGTTGATGATATTGATGAATTTTTATAATGTTAAAAGTCACATTGGAGATGCTCTTAGAGCATCTCCAATGCTATGGTGTTGAAAGGCAATAATTTTTAACACATGTCAATTGATGATTGTAATGTTAATCCACATAAGAATAATGTTAAAAGACTAAAAATTTGAATCAAACTAGTATCTCCAATGCACCAATTTGATAAGAATTTATTTGTATAGGTGGACCAATTATAATAATTCATTAATACAAGAATAATAAAAAATTAAACCAAATATAAAGTGAATTAATGAGTCATCATGTTTAACATGGTGTTAGATATTAGAAAGTGAGTTCAACATTGTTAACATTAAATGCCATCCACATCATCATGAAAGAGCTAATGACAAGATGCATTGGAGAATAAATTAGTAATAAACTTTCAAAAGTTGATGATATGGATAATTTTTTGCAATGTCAAAAGTCACATTGGAGATGCTCTTAACGTCATCGAAGCTTCAATCACCAAGGTCGACTACTCCTTTCATGAGTGTCTCGAAAATCTCCTCCAACTGGCAAAAGTTTTCCAAAAATAAGTTCCAAATTTCTCTTCATAGACTGGATCAAAATCTCATAAAAAAAAGTGACACATAAAACAAATCAATTGTATGTGTGTTAAAATTGTCACACAAGTTGAGTGGCTCAGTACATCTCACTACCCAACTCGTGTGGTATCTAAATCTTCAATTTCTCACTATTTTTTCAGATATCACATGACTGTATGATTTAAGTCACTAATCACTTTGATCTTGGAGAGAGGATCAATTTTCTTTCCACTGAAAAAAATAGTGTATTTTTTCGCCATATATAACCAAGAGTTACATCGTAAGCTTCAAACATATTCAATCGAACATATATATTATATCTGGAGCAAATCAAGATGATGAGAATTCTTTAATATACGTTGCATTTGAGATTTTTAAATTTATTCTGTAAGCCATGAGCTTTAATTTATCTTGTAATCCAAGAATTAAATTATTATTATTATGTCTATTAAAAAAGTACAACATTAATAATTTAATCAATTTCTCAAAATATCAACTCGAAAATTCCCACTTCAGCACTTATATTTATTTAATCTGGTCCAAACACCACCAGATGGGGGCGTCGGGTGCACAAGGACGGTTGCGACGGTTGCTCCCAATTCATCACTAATTGCCTCCACGTGGCATACCCTGCGGCACTACATTCTGAATTCAATTAAAATTCAGAAAAAAACACTAGGGATTTGAAAAATGCAGATACACAAAAAAACATATAAAAAAACAATTGTATATTGTGTATATATACTGTACGTATATGCTTTCACACGTATAACCGACCTGTCCCGCCCGATTGTCTCTGCCCTCTCTCTTTCTCTCTCTCTCGCTCGCTGGCTCCGGCTCTTGTACTTAGCGTGTGTATCCCAAAATTTATTCTAATTTCCTATATAATTCTGGGGTTTCCTTATTTTTTTCCCCTGTTTTCGAAATTTCCGTTCACAAACCCGCAATCTTTTCGTGTACTCGTTGCCTCTGTGTAGTCCACGCGAAGTTACTCTCGGCTTGCATTACCCTTGAATTGATATTCCGTTTTCAGGTGGTGATCGATTCTGTTTTCTTGAAAGTTTTAAACTTTGGGGTTTGGTTCGTATTTTTGTTGTTGTGCCGTGTGCGTTTGATTTGTGTGCATATTCATAGCTTTGTAAGGAAACTACCGATCTGGGAATTCAGGAATGAAGTTGTCGTTATATTGATGTAATAACCTCTTTGGATGTTTTTCCTGGGTTTTGTGGCGCACTCATTTAGGTTTCAAGTTACTTATGTGCGATTGTATATGCCCAATTTCGTACAGTTTGAATTGCTCTGACCAACGCTGGATAGCGTGTGAAATGTACTGGGTTTCTGTTGGATTTTATGATCAGTTCCATTGATATGATGAACTGGGTCTTCAAATTTTTTGGTTTTGATATTCTTAGAGATGTTTCCACACTGTGTAGACTGTACAGTGAGTTTTGTTCACTTTATTAGGATTGATGACATCAGGGAACACTTCCCATTTGGA